AAAGAACCGATAAGATCTCCTGAGATAGATAGGAGCAAGGGAACGAGAGAGAGAGAGAGAGAGAGAGAGAGAGAGAGAGAGAGAGAGAGAGAGAGAGAGAGAGAGAGAGAGAGAGAGAGAGAGAGAGAGAGACGAAGGCATAGCTTGACCACATAAGAGAGTTGGGAGGAAGGGAGAAAACTCTGGTTATACAGACAATCTTCAAGAGGGCAACACGCAGCTATTCGTTGTGGACTTACCTTTCCGATAAACAAAGGAAGAAGAATTTGAAAATCAAGGTGCACCGGCTTTTTGCTCTGTGATAATGGCCCTTGGCCATGCAACCACTCGTACACGCACACTCTTCTCACTCAGGTACTGATGATCCTGGCCGCCAAGTAGCAACCTCCAAACCGCAACGATCGATACCCCGACATCTCAGCCTTTACACCAACTTGCTCAGATCCTGCAGTCGTCGCGGCTCCCGACGCACAGTCATGCATACACTGCAGTCGGTTTGCCGGGACTTCTGACTCGCGACTTGCACATCACCTATCCACGACTTCCCTGAAGCTGGCAAATGGGTTGAGAGAGAGTTTTTCGGATACGCTTGCGGGTTTTATAGTTGTGAAGAGGGGAATAGAAGATGGAGGAGAGTGAAACGTAGGTAAGATGGGGTGAGAGGGGAGTTTAAGTTAATCGCCCAACGAAAGCCATATCAATCCCTGCGAGTTTGTTCGCAGCCAATCAGATTACAGCCTGCGGGAAGTATCCTCCCTACAAGTCGTTGTCTGTCGACTTCAAATACTTGGAGGGGGATCGGTAGGGAGTTCCGTATGGAGATGAGGGCGGGAAGGAGAAGAGTGTGAAAGCTAGAGTGGAGCGGGACCAAGATACACACAAGGAGTAACTTAGGGCGAAGAGCGAAAGAGAGGGGATGGAAAGGAGTTACGGGTGAATGAGAGAAGGCACGAAGAGGAGAAGGGCGAAGATGGCATAGGTCCTAGCGGGAAGCGGGGAAGCTTGCATGCATGGCGCTGGTGCAAAAAGAAAAAGACATTTAAACAGTTACATCCCATCCATTTTGGTTGTAAAGCAACTTCAAGATTGAAAAATTCAAAAGGAATATCGGCGTGCGGAATTTGAGCAAGAGAAAATCCTACGTCTATCTGGATTCCTACAGAAAATTCACGGATCTTTCAAGGGTCCATGCGTGAACATGCATTTGCAAGAAAGGACACGTTAGCGGGGAGAGCGCCCGTAAGTTCCGGAGTTTCCAACTATCGATCAAAATTCCTAGCGTGCTTTGCTAAGGCGCGCGTAATTCCTACATAGATGCATGCATTGGATTGTCGAAGCAAAAGAAGTCCAAAAGAAACGTTGTTTCATACATGAGAGGGCCTGATTGGCTTGCGATTCGATGCACTGGGCAGATAGCAAAAAGAAGGGGTACGGTGGTACACTGGTACCCAAAGAAAAAGAGCTTGGTAGATTCCCACGCGTTACGCACCCGTTCGCCACTTTGTTTTCAACTGAGAAAACAATGTTCGACTTGCATGTGTTAAGCATATCGCTAGCGTTCATTCTGAGCCAGGATCGAACTCTGTTTTTTTATTATGGCTCAACTTCTGGAATGTTGGATTTGAACCTACAACAACGAGTTTACCAGTTCCAGTCAATCCAATCTTAGAGTCAGGGCAACAAAAACTCGGGGCTTTAGAAGATCGCTTGGGTACAGAAGTTGGTACGTCATGAAGCTGGTACGTCACACCAAATTCATGAACAGGTAAAAACAGGCGAAGGTAGCTGTGGCCACGGAGCAAAGCCGCCTTTTACCCAGGCTGAAGAGCTGAAATGTCGTTGCTCATCATCTCTGTGTGCGCAATAATACTGAGAGCCTGTGAGAGGGGGCTCAGGCTAACAGCGGTCCCCTGTGATGGGGGCGCTTAGCATTTGCCAGCACCCGAAACGAGTAACAGTAGTGTCTAAAGCCAACACTCTCCCACACACCACATGCAACCCACTCACGCACGCACTCACACCTGTGTTGGTTGAAAACCTTACTAACACTGACTGGGACGACTATCTCAGCTGATTGGCACCAAGAGTGCTACAGGCGGCCATGGGGATTGAGCCCACGACCTCCTGAATGCCACTTGCGTGTCTAACCAATTGAGCTAGGCCGCCGGTTACTTTCTTTCAGACTGTAAGTTCTTTGTATCGTTTCCTTTTATCTTTTCTTAGGACTGCACAGCAAAAGTGATTAACCGTTATGAATGTTTCCCCGTAAGCCGCCAGTACCTTTCCCAGGCCAAAAAAAAAATCCTGTCGGGTAAGATGGAGGCCGGGGCGTGCCACGCCCCGGCCAGATATATCCCAAATCCTCGGTGTGCAGGGCGAGCGGCCAATGGCTGGGAACGGTACTGGCGGTTCAATTGTGAGAGGTAGGGGTCCCCTAACTCCCCTGTATAGGCTTAGGACTAGTGGTAGCACTGGTAGGTAAATGGTGGAAGGTGAAATTGAGAACAAGAATATACCAAAAAGAAAGAAGAAAGTGGCCGCTGACAGCACATAGGATGTGTGCCAGGTCACAGCGATCTCTTAAGGTCCTCAACATGCTGAAGTTAAGGGGATGATCATCACTGAGAGCACATAGGATATGTCCAACAGATGCATGTTTTCACCCGAATAGAACGCCCGGTTATTGTAGCTGTATCTGGACACAAAAGTACACCAAATACAGCTACAATGACCGGGCGTTCTATTCGGGTGGTGAAGCCGGTAGGTTAGACCCAAGCTCAACATGGAGTTTCCTCACATATCGAAGGGATTCTCCGATCATAGCCGTCTGTTCAAATGTGGCCGAAATAGTTATGGGACGGGGTGGCCCCCTGGGAAGCTTTCGGGTTCCGGCGCTCCTATGACAGCAACCATCATAGTTCAAAATCTGGCCTCTACCTTTCTCAGCCTTTTGGCTAAGATCAAGTGTAGTATCTGTTCTGATCAGTTTAATATCTGATCTGTGGTCCATCGGACCACACGGTATTAAATTAATTTTTCTGGGCTACGGAGGGGTCATATGGGTAGGCTTGCCTGCTCGACCCCTCCAGCGTTGCCTCTGTATTGCACTGCAGCAGAGTGCGGCACGGCCCTTAATATATATATATATAAATCTGGCCTCTACAACAACCTGGACTTTTTTGGAAAAAAAAAGAAAAAAAAAAGGGATATCTCGGCACTGAGTCACTGACAGCACATAGGATGTGTGCCACGTTATAGACTACCTCACCATGGAACTTCCTTTTTTTTTTCTTTTTTTTTTTTTCTTTTTTTTTTCACCATGGAACTTCCTAAGATGCGAAAGGGATGATCTTCATTCCGGCCAGCACAATGTCATCCCCCCAGGACCCCTCATGAGAAGTCCTTATCAGGTATCTTCCTACCAGGCTCCAAGGTAGGTACCCCCTCAGAATTCAAATGACATTATGACAGATCCATGATGGGTGGGCATTGGAGTAATTTGTTATTTTTTCCTACAAACTTTAAGGCTAAAGAAGTGCTGCTGCACAGCAAATGAACAAGGAAAAGAAAAAAATGCAATTATGAAACTGTAGTCAAGGCAGACAGCACACACTGTGAGGATGACATTGTGTGCCATGTCATAGACAACATCCGTTGAGGCTGGACAAATGGGGAAACTTTAAGACGTGCTCTATCTCCGAGTCATCTTTAATTCTTGAGAAAACTGTGGCCACTTCACTGTTTAAACCACCAGTACCTACCACATTTTTCATACCCCAGGGCCTCGAATGAATTTGGACCAGAGGGGCAGGCCGATTCGGCTTCCACGCCACCCCATCCAGTACCTACTGGTGGTTTGACGGAACTTAAATTTGACCGTTTGAATTTGAAATAGGCAAGCATACACTATTTAAATTGAATGGCAACTGTGGTCATGGTGCGAGCTTGAAACGGCGCCCAATTTCAGTCGAAAAGACTCGAAATCGATCCGTCGGCCTTTGTTTTTTCTTCATGTTTTCCTTTCAGTGAATGGTCATGGTGCGAGCTTGAAACGGCGCCCATATTCAGTCGAAAAGACTCGAAATCGATCCGTTGGCCTTTTGTTTTTTCTTCATGTTTTCCTTTCAGGTCTGACACCACGGACCGCCCGTGTAGTTATGGGCCTTATGGCATTGCCATCTGTGGCTCTGTCACACAAAACAGCTAGTCAAAGAGATTCACACTCAATTCATATTGATCATGTTGAATAGACTAGTGTGTATATTTATTTTTTTTATCAATTATTTTAGACTTATATTAAAATTAATAATTAAATAGACTATAAACAAAAGTAAAGGGAATAGCCCGTGGTGCTTTTTCATGGCCTATTCGAGTTTGGCGGCTGTTTGTTTTGCGTCCCTCCCCCCCCCCCCCCCCCCCCCCTTTTTTTTTTTTTTTTTTTGGCATTATTCCGATTGATGAAAACTTCCGTTCTGGGGGGTTGTATGTGGGTTGTGATGCAGCCGCCATTGCCTGTTTATTTTATTTTTCTGTTTCGAAAACAGGCTATGGCCTTGAAATGACATCGCCGATACTGACCACTCCAGACTCCAATGGTAATCAGAATTACTGAATAATTATTATGTTCATCTGATTGCATCTGGGTTTGAACTTGAATCTGCATTTCCACAGAACTTGGGTCTTTTTAAAAAAAAAAAAAACGGGTCTTTACTCTGTTGGGTCTTTTCTTCTTGTCTAAGATTTTTGGCCTCAGGGGAAATGCCCGCAGGGCAGTTGTAGGGTAGTACTCAAGGAGTTCAACCCCATATGGGAGATCATATTTTTTATTTTTTATTTTTTTATTTTTTTTTACAAACTCTCTCTGTAGTGCTAGTGGTTCTGGTAAGAGCAGACACCAGTAGCACCTTGAGGAGAGACTCCATCTATTGGTGGAGAGCATCACCTGCTGGAAAACTTCTCCAGATGTATGTTGACATGTCAGACATGGTCATGATGGTCTTTTCACCAGTAACTGTTTGTTTGTTTTTTTTGTGTGTGTGCTTTTGCATGTTTTTTTGCATTGTTGTGAAATGATCACCTGCTCATTGCATTCCCATCTTTTCTCTTCTCTATGTGCCACATGTTTCTACGGGTCTCTTCTTCTTCTTCTTCTCCCTCTTCTCCTTCTTCCTCTTCTTCCTCCTCTTCTTCTTCCTCTTCTTCTTCTTCTTCTTCTTCTTCTTCTTCTTCCTCTTCTTCTTCCTCTTCTTCTTCCTCCTCCTCCTCCTCTTCTTCCTCTTCTTCTTCTTCTTCTTCTTCTTCTTCTTCTTCTTCTTCTTCTTCTTCCTCTTCTTCTTCCTCCTCCTCCTCCTCCTCCTCCTCCTCCTCTTCTTCTTCTTCTTCTTCTTCTTCTTCTTCTTCTTCTTCTTCTTCTTCTTCTTCTTTCTCCTCCTCCTCTTCTTCTTCTTCTTCTTCTTCTTCTTCTTCTTCTTCTTTTATGTGCTTCTAAGGGTCTCATTCCACCACGGTGACCGCTCTCAGATCGATTGGGAAGCCATGTTATGCCATAATAGGGCCATATTATGTACTGATTTATTTTGGAAGGCATGGTTCTAGGCCGGACCTATCAAATTGAATTTCTTTTGCAAAGAAGAGCCATACTAATGCTACACACGCGCGGGATAGAGTACTAGGTCAAGAGTAGTCAAAACTCTCAGAGGATATCGGAGATTGTAAGGGCATATACTCGTACTAGGATTTTTCTTGTAAGCACATGTGACGCCCAACCTCACGCCCAGCGCAACTTTCTGATCGGAGTGGGATGTGGGCCTGGAAGTGCGAAAAGGGGTGTGCCGAGGATTTTTGGGGAAAGTGGAGTCCCAGGTCAGAACTGAGATCTCCTGTGACAGGGTCTTTCGGGGGCACAAGTGCAATTTGGCGAAGAGGGCGTTTTCGGGTTACCAGCGCGGTTCGCTCAGGACCGAGCGAGCCATTGGTTTCAGGGACGGCGTTTCGGGGGTTGGTCCCTTCGGGGTAGGTGGGGTTCCGATGGGTTCGTCTGTCGGGAGTTGCCACGCGGCGCTGCTTGTCGCACATGCGGGCTAGGCCTTCCGAACTCCGGGGTTCTTTGATCGCCGCGCCGTCGGCAGTTCCCGCAGGGTGTACTGGGCCAATAGAGGCTATGGCCGGCCACGGAACGACACTGAGTTGATGGTACGGAAGAAGAAGGCGAAAGGGAGGGAAGCTGGTGATGATGACGACAAATCCCGGGTGGATGAAGTAGTAGGTATGGTCGGGAGAAGGGAAATCAGAGCACCGGGGGTCGCTAGAGGTGGCACAGTGGAATTCCGGAGGACATAGTCGATTCTCAGTGTGGCAGGGGTATCACTGCCTTAGGATTTCGTTTATCCAAGGGGTGAAATAATCCCGGTCGTAGGATGAGTCGGAATTCCAGGATCGCGTCATCATGGCATTGCAATATTATGAGTTGCCTAAGGACGGATCGAGGTCGCCGCGTGCGAGCACGTGCAGGCCGTGTGACTGTCGTCGGACTTACGCGTGCTTGTGCGGGACGATTGCGTCGTTGCGGATTTCGAGATGGCCACTCCCAATCGGACGGATTGATGGTCCCGATGAGTCGACGTCCGGGGATATGTGTAAGTGTGCAACTTAGATCGCGTCTTACACGTGTCCTCACGCGGCGTTCACCGAGCCCGGCTTCCGACCGCCTAATTACTTCGTGATGTTCTGAGTTATGCAAGATGCATTGATCACACACAGCTCAATCAAAAGACAAGCAGAGACAAAGACAGGATTATCGATTGCGCAAAATCCCTATTCTACACACGAGTGCGTCGAATGCGACCAACGAAAGCAAAGACAAGGGTTCCTCAGCGAAAAGATAGGCAATCAAACATGGCATCCATACATCCATCCATTCCGTAATCATACACATAACACATCAAAGATGGGAGAGTCGCGAGGGCAAATGTAAGCAAAAAACCCAGGTCCAAATTCCGAGAAATTGAAAAGAACGGGCAAACTGCCCGAAGCCGAAATCAAAATTTATATACACAAGACAAGGGGAAGAAGAGACAAAAGAAACAGCCACTCCGCATCCATCAACCTCAACTCTCTCTTCCTCTCTCTTCTTCTCCGATGCGGACAGTCCGTCGTCGCGCACCGACCCACGAAGTCGTCACCCCGCTTAGTCCTCCCGCACCCGTCAAGTTCGCCCGCGCCCACAGTCCGTCGTGGCCCCCGTCAACCCCGCGCGTTCGGCACCAGCTCGTCGGGTCACCCGACTCCTGCTCTACTCACCTCTTACTTCGCTCGTGTGCCGACCCTTCCTGATCGCGTAACCCCGAGCTTCCAACAGCTGGTTAAGAGCTAACTAATCGCGCAGCCGGAATTTATAGTGTGCATGCATGCGCGAAGAACACGGAATTACCAAGACTTAGAGGGGAGATTAGAGAGGGAGTGCCTACGTTCTGCATGACCGGACCGCGGTGTGGGGGACGTAGCCACTCTCCACGCATCGATCTGAGCATGCAGTCCGTAGTTTCAAAAACGCAGCAAAAGAAAGAGAAGGAGGGCGGGAAAGGCGAAGTGCAAGAAGAAGGATACAATTACAATGGTGCCCGCCCAAAATTATAGTTACACACACGATTAAAGGCGCCTACTAATCAGAGTACCGTTGCAGCGGCATGAAGAAGCGCGTAGACAAAAGGCGCCGCGCGGCAAGAAAAATCCTAATTACTGAATTCCTAAATTCCTATCTAAGGCGAAGAAGCAAAAAACACAAACTTCAGAGGGAAAGTCCGAAATTCCGAGAGCTATCGGTGCTCGACAAAATTCGAAAAAGATTTGAAAGAAAAATAAAAAAAGAACGAAGCAAATTCCCGCGCGATGTCGGCGCCCAAAAGATCGGAACCGAAACGAAAGAAACGACGTCAATATTTATTAATCGCGCACGCGGTGGCGCGCCAGCCGTCCAGCCGACCAATCAATCAACCGGTCATCCCAGGACACACCCAGCTCCGAACCCAGCCATTCGAAAAGAAGCGACGGAAAAGATGAAAAAGCAAGGACACTGATGCAATTTCCTTCCGATCCCGATCTCCCATTATTGGCCCAACCTTCCCAACTTAGGACCCCTCATTGCAACCCCGCAGAAAGTCGCGTGTTACAGAAAGTGGTTCATCACAACGGGGACACGATTGCAGTCATATTCATGCAGCTCTGGCCGCAATTGCAGTCAGATGCATTCTGGAAAGTCTTATTCCACCACAGTGACTCTCAGTTCCACCCGGAAATGGTGATTAGTAGGTCAAGACTCAAAAGTCGTTACAATCTCGAATGAGTCGGAATGACTACTTCACATTTTTGCATGCTCAGTCCGTCTACTACTCTCTATGTGACCACTCTTGAAGGACTCTCCTATCTGCTCACCACATGACGACAAACAAAGAAACATTCAATTTGACACGTGAGACAAGTCCCAGCTATTTTATTTCGTTATATTGTATTTCTTGTTTTTTTTTTTTTTCTTCTTTTCCTATTCTATTTTTATTAAGTTAACTTCAATTCATCTTGTTATCTGCCTTGGAGAGGATTCCAACCCCCATTATACCTTGAAGTACAAAATTTTGAATCTTGTGTGTGTGTATACCAGTCCACCACCGACATGAAGGCCTTATTTCAATTAGTCTACTACGTACTTGAAGGCCTTATTTCCAGTCAGTGAGAATATAAACTTGATTACGGCCTTATTTCAAGGCCTTATTTCAAGGCCTTATTTCAAAGCCTTATTTCAATTAGAGTGAGACTCAGTGAGTATATCATCATGATTACGGCCTTTGCTTTTTTTCCCTGAGTATATTAGATTGCTTTGGTTTTGAGAGATAGATCATCAAAAGCTCCGCAAAACAAAAGAAAAAGAGAATTCATAATGCCTTTTAGTCCACTAGAACAACAATTTGCTATTATTCCATTGATTCCTCGGGTCCCGACATGCCGCCAAGTTTCAAAATTTGAGGCCGTGCCAGACGGTGATGACAATAGTAAACTCGGTTTTGTCCAAAGAAAAACACAGAGAAACAGAAAAACAGAGGAAGAGAGAAAGGGAGGTGATTCCCCTGCAGAGTCAGGGGAGGCAAAACAGAAAGAAAAAGGGGGACAAAAAAACCAAAAGAATCAAGGCTGGACTACGTTGCCAAATCCTATAGTACGAGAAAGCACACCTACCCCGCAAGTGACAGATGGCAGCCTAGGGAGTAGTAGTTAATTTACCCTCTCTAAAGCTCACAAATTAAGTAGGTTATTAATAATATAATATTAATATTTAAATCACAAGTTCCAGGCAATTTTTGTGCTGCATCCTTTGGGGTTAACTTAGGTCTACTTGACCGAAATGGCTGGTGGCAATGGGTGAGTAAGATTCAATGGCAGATAGCACATACACATGTCGCCCAACACAGAGACGCTAAGCGACAGCAAGATGATTGAGTCAAAGAACAATCGTAAGTTTTTCAGATGAAATCCACAAATTCCAGAAGAGCGGCTCCCCGACCGGTTTCGATCACCGCCAGGTGATCGTCCTCGGGGGGGTTCTCCCACCAAACCAGGCAAACCTGACATGCATGTGTCCCACACACCTCCACATGCTTCCATCGCTACACCCTCCTCCGTCAACCACCTGCATCCCAGCAATGCCGGCAGTGACGTCGGTCCCGGAAAAGAGAATCTTACTTACCTAGTTAATTTACCCTGTCTAAAGCACACAAATTAAGTAGGTTATTAATAATATAATATTAATATTTAAATCACAAGTTCCAATTATTGTGCTGCATCCTTTGGGGTTAGGTCTACTTGACCAAAATGGCTGGTGGCACTGGGCCAAAAAAAGAAAAAGAGAGAGAGAGAGAGAAAAAAGAGGGGGAAAAAAGGAGGCAATTCGTCGAATAATGACCAAAAAAAAAAGGCCTGGAAGGCTATCCTGTCCGATTTGACAGGTCATTGAATTGGTTGGGCTTAAAAAAATAATTAGCCCACACGCCTTCCAGGCCATTTTTTTTTTTTCTTTTCTCTTTTTTCTTTTCTTGAATTAGCAGACACTTCAGAATGGGCATACTTAAGTCCATGACACCATAATGATCGGGGATCATAATTTTGTTTGTGTTTTTGGTTGGTAGTGGGTAAGTAGGATGAAAGCAGTGAATATCTTGTTTACGCGTTTCTGGTTGGTAGCTTGTTATCTAGCTTGGATTGCCCTAGATTAGGGTTGTTTGATTTAAAAAAAAAAAAAAAAAAAAATTATGGAAGTTTGGACAAGGGGTAGATTAGGAATTGGCTTTTGTTAAATTAGCCAAGTTCGACGCGGATTTTGTTTTAGGGTTGGGATTGGGATGATCGGTTTTGTAACCTTGTGGGGTTGTGGTGGGGATAGGTTTGGGTGGGAGTGCCTTGCTTAGCCCGTTTGACCGAAGCAAATGATGTAAGGGACACCGGGCCCGTTTCCCGGCTACATGAATATGGAATTATTCTTTAAAAAAAAAAAAAAGGAAAAAAAAAGAAGGGCACACATAAGCTCAGGGGCGAGGTCCCATTAGCAGTTGGATACTAGTGTGGCCTATCCAGTGTGAGACTGAGTGGCAGCGGGTTGTCAATGACAAGTTCATTACGAATTTCTGGGCTGAGAAAACAGGAGAAAGGCAAAAAAAAAAAAAAGAAACAGAGACCTCCCACCGGAAATCACGGCAGAGTGCTTCCCAGCCGTCAGATCACATTGTCAAATGATCTGATGGTGGTGGCAGAGTGCTTCCCAGCCATCAGATCACATTGTCAAATGCTCTGATGGTGGCGGTTGCATCAACAGTGAACAAAGTAACTGCCACATTTTCTGGAATGAACTCCACTTCTGTCAGCAGTGATCCTGACACCCTCCATATACTCCGTGATTGAAGGAGGGCTCCACCCAATGAGTTAATTGCACAACAGCAAGTAAAATTATACTGAAAATCTTCTATCCAGTGGGCCAATGGCCGACCCCACCCTCTTTTGGGGTTGGCCACACCCCCAACCTATTGAAAAGATTCTGGCGGGAAGTATTCTTTGCACGGGCATGCCCAGTGTGAAGGAGAGGAGGAGGGGAACAAAGATCTCCTTACTTTTTCGGGTAATACATGTAAATCACTGACTGTGGGATCAGGAGTACTGCACGGCAGGATTTGGGTCACTCAACTGCCCCGCAAACTCGTTTCTATCCTATCCCCTTGCTAGTGGAACCTCGCCCCAGGAAGCACCAGCCCTTTTTCTTTTTTTAATTGTGTAATTATTCCATGAATTCAATGAAAAAAAAAAAAGAGGCAATCCATTCATGGAATGGAATTGGCAGGACCTTGGCTGATGTTGTTGGCTGCTATGCAGCGACAATATTGACCATTAGACACCGCCATGTGGGGTTGGGGGGGGGTAGGGGGAGGTGTAGTGACTGGCCATTGCTCGGCGCTAGCACCGCCGATTTCCCCCATCCGGCAATGCCTGCCCACCCCTCGTCACCGTGATGAGGGACTGGTACAGCCTTGCCCTCCCACCACAGCTGTGGTGCCAACCTACCCTGTGGGCTGGGGAGGGATCCGGGTTGGTTGGTGTTCCCCCATACTATATATAGAATAGTGAGAGGATGAGATAGATGCGTGCTATCAAGAAAAATGAGATAGATGAGAGAAGAATATAGCTTACCTTTTAAAAAAAATAAAAATAATAAGTTAATAAAAAAAAAAAA